AATTGCTTCAAATGAAGAAATTCATTTAAATAAACATCAAGCAAGTGTCACATTCATACACATAATTTCTAGTAAACAATTTGCTTCTGCCAAGAATAAACGATCAGGTCATAGGAGCAGTATGAACAGGACACATTTACAGTTAGTGCACAACAGTCCCGTTGTGCTGCAGCTCACCAGCTACAACAACAAAAAGCCCTAATATGACGGGGCTCTCACAGGCATGTCTATGTAAATCTATTCAAAACTGGGCAGCTCATGATGCTTGTACCTAACACTGAATTAATTTATGACCAAACTGATGTCTCATCTCAGCCACTGGGTCACTGGGGACATTTTTTGAATTATCTAATTTAAGAAAACAGGGATCATTTTTAAAGAAGATGCTGCAAAGGCTGGAGGGATGGCAGCAAAAATCAGAGAAAATTGCAATACTGATGAAGAAGTAAAAATTTGTGGGCAGGTTTGCCCTGTTTGAACTGAGCCCCGGACCGCACCTGAGAATTCAGGTGTCATAGGGGAGGTTTGGCTAATCCTGAAAACACCTTCAGAATGATTTCAGAAACATGATTTTTAAGACACTTTGAAAATAAATGGTTGTTGTTTTTTGCTCAGGATCCAAGAAGCAACTGAAGGACTACTTAAAAGCATGTGCCTTTTAAGCATATGTGTCCAAAAAGCAATTACTGTGCATGTTCATGTTTGATGACCAGGATTTAACATCATTAGTCTAGAGTGAAAATAAAAATATGTTTTCATACTTTATTTCACGCCTCAGGCTCTGTCCAGTCTCATTTCAGAATGTGTGGAAGCTTTCATCCTCCACAGCTTTAAAAAGTAACGACACAATCTAAAACAAAAATAGTCTTTTGGGTTGCAAATAATTTTATTCAGCGCAGCATTAGATAAACTAAAGGTTTGAACCTTGAGCTGTGTTTTATCATTTATTAACCTCAATAATAAACAAATTAGAAAGGTGAGCCAACTTCATCATTTAAAGTTTTGATGGCACTGGATAGGTTTTAATTAAACTAATCATTGTAGAACTGAACCAATTCAAAATGGCCGACTGTTCTTTGGAAACACAATAAAAAGTTATAACTCAGCCAGTTTTACAAATATTGAGCTAAAGTTTTGTGTGGCAATCATTCACAACACAACCTCTGAGCATCATCTTGTGAATTCATGGAAATACTCATAACATAATTTACAAGGTTTGACCAAAACAACGTGGTTCCATCTCATCATAAAATGTTATTAGTCCTAAACTCTGACATGCAAAGCGACGAGATGACCTCAAATCATGCTAGAACTTCAGTTTTATTGAGTTTCCACAACATTTTTAGAGTAAGTGCTGCATTTTTCAGGTTTTTATTAACCTAGGACACAAACAGAGATTAGTAAAAAAAATATGGATGATGAAGGGGTATGTGCGTACATTTTCTGAAAGACTTTTAGTGAAGGGGGTTTTCTTTGTAATACATCTGAAACTCCATGTTAGAAAAACGGGGACTCAAACAAGTGGACATGACCTAATAGTTCTTAATTCCTGCAGCGACAAGAGAAGAAGCTCACATACGTGCTCATGCTTTCACTCACTGGTGCATTATAACATGCACAAACAGTGGCATTCCACTAACTTGAACATGCTGCAAATTGGTTACACATGATGAGAAATTGTAGAAGATTCTTTAACAAACAAGAACAGAATACGAGCACAAATGCATCACTGACCACGTTTTCATCACTTCAGTGTCCCTCTCTTTCTGCTGATCAGATAACTGAACCTTTTCTTTTATTTAAAGTTGATTTTTGCTTAATCAATACACCAATGGGATGTTTACTGAGCAAAGGTAAAAAGAAGAATGACTAGGAAAGCAGTTATTTCAAATAATGGGACGGGTAAAGTAACTCATGAGGTTTTCTTCTCTAGTTTTTAGTGAGTAATTCACCGTGAACAGATCTGGCAGCTTGGTGTTTCCCTCTTCACTGTCCACTAAGTGTGATTGTTCTTTTTGTGGACGTTTGCACAGTCATTGTCCTCACCTCTCTGCATTCATAGTCTGTGTGTAATTTGATATCAAGAGGAGGATTTTGCTATTTTGTCCTCTTTCCTTTACAGTCTTTTTAGGCCTGTGTCTCTCTGTGGACTGGCAGCAGATACCAGATGTGAGAATTACTCAAAAATGCTGGACGCAAGAAAAGCTGTGCCACCTAAAATTAATGTTGATAAATGTTAGAAAAGCTGCAAAGTTGTGATGAGTAAAATGAGCTATTGTAAATGTGATAAAAATGGATAAAAAATAATTGTCTGTAATTGCGAGAGAATCTGTGTGGCATTAAATGAGTTGCCATTAACTGTAGAAAAGCAACAAAACTGCATTGCTTAAAATGGTTCAGCATAAATGCAGATCATGGTAAAAAATATATTTTTAAACATGTGTTTTTTTAATGAATCAGCCATTGGAAGGGTACTTTCTGTGTGGCTCTGTTGGACCTAAGCCTGAATGATGATGGTTGAGTCAAGAAAGGCAATCAATGTAAAATGGTAAATGGACTGTACTTGTACTTGTACTTGTACTTGGATAGCACCTTTCTGTCTTTAGATAGTTTTAGATATCTCAAGGTATTCAAAGCTCTTTACACTACAATCTGTGTCCATTCATAGAGCACTCTACTAGATCTATACAAAGACTAATCAGAGCTTTATCACATTCATACATCAATGGGACACAACTTGGAGGCAATGAGGGGTTCAGTGTCTTGCCCAGGGACACTTCAGCATGTGACTGCTGGTAGAGTCGAACCCCCATTTCTTGCATTGGAGGATGACTGCTCTAACCACTCATCCACAGACATCCAACAAACAAACAAGCTGTCTAAAACAAACGTGGATCTATGACTGCTGTACCAAATCTACAAATGTCTCACCACGTCGTTCAACAACCCCCATCGATCAATCAGTTCAATAAAGTTTATTTATATAGCGCCAAGTCACAACAGATGTTGTATCAAGGCAATGAACAGAAACATTAATGTATATAAAAATAAGTTAACACTATTTATCTGAGGAGCAGACTGCTTTGAATTTAACTCCATCACAGACTCTCAACTTGAGCAAGCATGAAGGTGACAGGGGAAAGGAAAAACTCCTTCATGAGGAATAAACCTTTAGCAGAACAGGGTTCAGGACAAGTGACCATCTGCTTCGACTGGCTGGGTTTGAGAGGAACAGGAAACAATGGCAGGTCGAGAATCACATGTTAAGGTAGAAATAATATCAAATGAAAACTATTCAAATTTAACAATTAATTTTAAGAAATGTGGTCAATTTGCCCTCTAGTAATCTAAGCCTATGGCAGCATAACAAGCCAACCCTAACTATGGGAGTTATCAAAAAGGAAAGTCTTAAGCCCAGTCTTAAAACTGGACAATGTGTCAGCCTCACGGACAGAAACTGGAAGTTGGTTCCACAAGAGAGGAGCCTGATAAGTGACAGATCTTCCTCCCATTTTGCTACTGGAAACTCTAGCAATCGCGACTAAGCCTACAGTTTGAGAGCGAAGTGGTTTGTTAGGAAAATATGGAACAATAGGATCTATAATATAAGATGGAGCTGGGTTGTTGAGAGCTTTGTAGGTTGGAAGTAAGATTTTGAATTCATTTATGAATTTGACAGGGAGCCAATGGAGAGAAGCTAAAACCGGAGAGATATGATCTCTCCTACTAACTCCAGTTAAGACTCTGGCAGCTACCTGGAACCTGGAACCACGTGTATTTGTATCATCACAGCCAAGGTCAGTAGGCTCTGTTTGCCTGTTCATCCCCTCTCAGCACAAAGTAGCATCTTCATCTTGGAGCAGCATAAGATCTGCTGCAGCAACCAGGGCTGCAGGTTTACAACAACACCTGAGGTTAACCTGCAGCGGGCTGGAAGATACTGAATTTGGAGGCAGATTAATCTCTATGGTGACTCAGGCCATGGGAGCATCTAAAAGACAAAATTATGATAATTATAAAAGATTATTTAAAATATTATTTTCATTTTACTAGAAATTAACAATGGAACTGGGTCCAGGTAAGACTTCATTTGGTGTCCAGATCTGGGCTGCAGTCCACCATTTGAGTACCCTATTAGATTAAGATGAATTTTGAACTATGAGCAAAACGTTAAATTAATGTAATATATATATATATATATAAAAAACATCTGGTCCTGCAGTTTTGCTGACCTCGAGCTTTATTTGTTTTATAAATAAAATTAATTGGGTTATCTTTTCAAACCAACAGGGTCAAATAAAAGTGATTTGTGTTTCTAAACAACTTCAATTATAACTGCTACTAACAGCGTGTTCTGTCTTTAACAATCTTTGTTTCATTACAAAAAATGTCTCAGAACCACACATTTTTTGACACAAACTTTTGTGAATTTCAATTAAAAATAAGAATATTTACTCTTTTTTTTTCAAAATTAAAATGAAATTTCCTGAATACGCAAATTTCCATTAAAGCTGGTCTTCCTGTCAGTTTGTCTTTCATTTCCCAGCTCATATGTGTTTGTTTGAGGTGGTGGGGGGAGAAGAGGAAAAATAAGGAGTCAACTTCAGCAGCATGTCGCTGAGGAGACCCTCTCCAAGGTGCTGAAATCTGCTTCCCCAAGCATGCGTCACGTGACCTCAGCCAGCTCTGCCGAGCTCAGCACCGAGCCCGCTGCTGGTTTCTGGAGACTTCATGTGAGAAACAGACCTCAAACCCTGCTTTTCCTCTCATCTGGCTCCATCCCTCTTTTCCTCCTGTTTTTTTTTTTTTTTGTTTGTTTGTTTTTGTTGCACCCACACGATGGGATGATGAGGAGCTCAGACGCGCTCGGAGTATGACAAAAAGCTTTTTCAGGATGCTGGACTGGTGTTTGTGGCTCTGCAACTCCGTGTTTTAGGCAGATGCCAGCGCGGTGAATGCGTCGGACAGAGTGCACGAGCCTGCAGCCTGAGGTCCGCATTGGGGACAGTCAACATCTCGTCTTTGATTCTTTGACTTCAGGAGGATGTAACCACCGAGCCTGCCTCCCCAATTAAGAAGATGCAGAAGGGAATACGACTCAATGATGGTCATGTCACCTATCTGGGGCTTTTGGCGAAGAAAGACGGCACGAGACGAGGGTGCTTGAGCAAAAAAAGCTCCGACAACACGAAATGGCACGCAAAGTGGTTCACTCTGCTGCAGAACATGCTCTTTTATTTTGAGAACGAGTCCAGCTCTCGACCCTCGGGATTGTACTTGTTGGAGGGATGCATCTGCGACAGGGCGCCTTCACCCAAACCTTCACTGTCAGCCAAAGAGTGTTTGGAAAAGCAGGTAGGGGATTGGATTGGGGGGGGGAGGGGGGGCATACCACACATATTCACAAGCTCTGCTCCCTGCAATGGATAAAAACTAGGCTTTAAAAAAGTGTCAAATTAGCCCCTGAGCTGCAAACAGCCTCTCATTTCCAACAACGCGCTCTCCTCTCTGCTCACACGATGACCTCGAATTCACTGCAGCAGGAGAGCTGTCAGATCCCTTTTTGTTGCACGTTATGTAATTCATGCACGGCTCTCACGGTGAGAGAAGAAGAATAAAAACACCTAGTCGTGTTGCAGCAGACGCCATGTGCAGCAAACCTGTTCCTCGTTTCTTTCTTTTGTTCAGTCTTTTTAAAACTACTTTTTTTTTGCGATGCGTAAAAGCTGGATTGGTGCCATTTGCATTCTGCAAATTGTTTGCTTTTGACTCGCAGTCGCGTTTTTTGACGTTTTTATGTTGGGGGTGGTGGGAGGGGGGTTGTTAAAGCACAATGCACCCCCCCTCCTTATCACCACCACTCTCAAATAAAACGACAGAAAAAAATGAAAAAGTTGTGGCTTCAAGGTTTCCATCTTGTGGTGAAAATCGTATTTACAGTCGATCCTCAGGAAACAGCAGTGATCAGTCTGCTCAGGTGACCTGGATCAAACGCAGCAGTCTGGAGTGTTGCATTTTCATAATAGCCAACATCCTGTCACATGCATGTCATTGTTGCAGTCTATAAATAGCCTCCTTTGTGTTTATAAATCATAAATGGTCAAAACTGATTTTGTTGCTCCTAAATCAGAACCCCAAGCAAGAGGTTTGTGAACGCTCTGTTGTTGTGAGCACGATGCTGCTCTGCTGAGATATTTCCTCTGCTGCCTCCCTTTCTCTGTGCCTGACTCTGTAGGTAGGGCTGCAGTCCAAACTGAGACCAGACTCAAACTGTGAACAGCTGCCCTCGTGCTGACAAAGCAGAATGCGACACACCGCCGTGCTCTCAAAGTTGCATCCAAAATACCTACTAGAAAAGCATTTTTATCTTGAGAACAAAAGGGGTGTTTTGTTTCCGCAATGAGCTGTTTCACTCATCAACAGCTCTGCCATCTTGCATATGTTGACCACGCTTTGTGCTGAGTCCAGACTGCACTGAGAGATGCTCAAGAATCTAAAAATATAACGCTTTTCCAACATCCCCTGTGGTTTTGTGCAAATGTTAGCATTGCTGAAACTCTAGATTACGTATAACTTCATTGTTTTGTTTTTTTTATGCGGTGACTGGGAAAATGATCATGCTTGAGCCAAAGGTTTCTATGACAACCCTTATTTGCATCCTAAAGAATGATGCAGTTGGAAGAGGCGTGATGACAGAGAGAGTCAGTGCATCGCTCTTATTAATGGGAGCACTATATCCAAGCTAAATTTGTTTCTTGCGGTACCTTTGAGGGCTCCGAGTCCAATTGTAGAAAAAAACAGCTTGTTCTCATCGAGTAACAGATTCACTTCGACCAGGGACGCGTAGAGCTACAAGCTGCACTGTAAAACCAACAGACATGGGTAATACTGTATGTGGGAGTAAAATAAGACTTGCTGTGGCCGTGGAGTTTGTAAGGGAAGGACAGATTTTAAAATAAAAGCAGATGCATGTTGAAAAACTGGAAACAATGAAGTGCAACATTTGATCTCTGTATGTGTCAGAAATTGTCTTTGCAGCAAAGCAACAAGGCTGTCATAGACAATCTTACAAACTTTATGGAGCAATGAAAATAAATACTTATTTAACCCATTTCTGCTGCACAGGAAGACAGAAGGCTTTGATTCAGATCAGCAAAGAATCCTATTTTATTAACATGACAAACAATAATGTTGTAATGTGATCTTTAAAACAGATGAGTGCCTCACACCTTGCTCATTCTAGGATTTTAAAGGAAAATTCAACAACATGCTTTATTGCCAAATTTCATTTGAATAATGGATGAATTCTTATTACAAGTAAAAGACATGAACAGTTGTTTGCAAGTTGACACATCTGCAGCTCAATGTCTGGTTTAAATCAACTCATCTGGAGTTGTCCATAGTTCAAGAAGGTTTTGAGCTTTAGAGCTTCATATTTTAGATCTTTTTCAAAACACAACTCTGATTTGAGTTAAAAAAATTATTCAATTGAACATTTGCAGGTTGGCACTAAAATCCTGATGATGTTTCATTAAAGTTTAACTTGAGATCTCAATGGCATCTTAGCATTAGGGAACCCTCAGGGCCTTCAATGCTTTCAGAGAAGGCCTAAAAGCTCAGCACATATGAAATGTTATGCTTGAATTTTTAATTTAATGTTTATTTTATACTTTGTATAAAATAAGTACATTCAATGTAGTTTTAGTATTTGCTAATGCTTATTAGTTTTTGTAAACTACTTTGCAGTTAAACAAGAAACACTTTTTAATTCAAGAAAAGTATTAGATCAGATTCTTTTAATATTTTATCTCCAGACAGAAAAACATGTTTGAAGGTTCTCCATCATGGATCAGGACTTCACCGTCAGGAGAGAAGGTGGAGCTCAGCCAAAGTCTCCTCAGGATGAGTTTGTTTAAGAACTGACAGGAAAAGTAATCAATCGCAAAATTGAAGCTTGGTCCCCCGTGTTTTGGTGGTCTCACCAAAACGCAGGGCTCGGAGCCTTTGAGTAAGCTTTGCAAGGTGTTTTACCATACCATACCATACCATACCATACCATACCATACCATACCATACCATTTTATTTATAGAGCACTTAAAACACCTACAAGGCCAACCAAAGTGCCATACAGACAGAACAACAGACAACACACGAAGCAATATACAAAATGAAGTAAATCAAAAATATAGACATAAAATCGATGCAGATAATAAATATGACGACAAACCAGTGTGGAGCGTACAGGTTCAAAACACAGATCTTCTGGTGTTGAAAGCTACTGAATAGTAGTGAGTTTTATTTATTATTTATTTATTTATTTATTTTTGGTGGGGGGTGACTATGTGAAGAGTTGTGATGCGTTAAACTGCAGTCTGTACATTCAAAAATCCACACTGAAATTGTAGTTGTTCAAAAAACAAATAAATAAATAAATGTGAAATAGCACATTCAAGTTGACATAAATAATTTTTAATTTTACAGTCTTAGTTACATGATGACATTTTACAAAAACTGTAAATTCTGCATGTTACTGTTAAACCTGAGTGTGAACTACTTAAATTACATGTTGTACTTGAATGCAAGCAAATGAGTATGTCTCTGTGCCTTCTGGGTAATCTGAAATGAAATGGGTGGATTTTTTCAAAGTCAAAGTTTCTTTATTTGTCATACACACCACATGTGGTACAAGTGGTGGAACAAAATTGTGTACACAAGGTCCCAGTTACATCCAACATAGTATAAATTGTAAAGAAAACCAGTAACAAGATCCAAGATATGAACTAAGAAAATATGTTAAGCTAAGAATACATTAAGCACTACTAGTACAAAAACAATACACAGAGCAACAGCAGCACGAACATGAGTCTGTGTGAGCAGATGATGACTAATGAACACAGCAGCTTTTTCAGGTTATATGTTCAGATTTTATTTTTATTTTTGTTATTCATTTATTTATTTTTATGATTTTTTTTTTTATATGTTCAGATTGGTTGTCTTTGAGTTAGGCTGGCATTTATTTTCAGGCTGTTGTTAGTGACTGTAAAAAAATTATATATATATATATATATATATATATA